CTTGCGGATTATGCACGGTAAAATGTAAGTCGTATGGCGGTGAAGACATTAGTCATGATGTAACAGTGACTACGACGACGAATGCCATCGTGCCAATCACGCCAGACACGCACTTCATTCCGATACGGCAGGAGCCGGACGGCGGCATTGAGACTACGGACGTGTGTCCCCCATCGTTCGATATTTGCTTAGGTGACCGTGCCGGTGACTCAAGGAGCGAGTACTTCGTGTTCCACGACAGTGGTGATGACTCGTCGTCGATGACCATGGGTGCCGTGGACAGATGTCGAGTGATCGATCGTGTTACGGTTGGTGGCAGTGGGACGTTTATCGTGAAATTCAAGTCACAGAACTCAGACAAACTTTGTCAGACAGAACTGGAGGCAGCGGAACGGGTCGAGCAGCCAAAAGGCGACGGCTGCACTTGGCCACATGGCCGCCTCGGCAGCGATGCGTTGTGGAACTGTCAACGGTAAACTAAATATTTCGTCTTCGGTTTGAGAGATGATAAGGTGAATTATTACCGTTGTGAACTTAAACCAAACATGTATGACCGAAAGGCTTAATTTTTTGGATGCGCACATCACGTGACTTAAGAATTAAACTAAAATCTGTGGTTGATGAGAAATTCGCCCTTCGGTCGAACCGGTGAATATCTGTAATGTCAAAATGTATGCATCATGAATTTCAAGTGGTGATCAGTTTTACTGTGCATTTAAAGTATGCCGAAGGTCAGAAACTGCTCGAATGATTGTTTACATTTTAAATGCCAGAATTACCACCTTGTATTGAGGCTGGACTTCGTGACCTTTCGTCCGACTGAGCCACATTAGATCTGCATTGGACATGATGACTCTTTAAGTAACACCAATTTGTAGACTCATGTACAGTTGTCTGAAGAAGATATGATAAACTTTCGACTTTTACAGTGATAGTTAAAAATGCCATAAAAATAATGTAGTATGCACAAGTAGATTATATTACGAAGAAGAAAAAGAAAATTTGTTAATCGTTGGAACTTCTTCCTTACTTTCCTCTGATATGCGCCACTTGTGACAGCCATAATTTAGAAAGTACTATGTGCAACTTGACGGTTCCTGTGAGGTATACTTTGTTTCTTGCAAAGTTCCTCGTTTACCTGCCTCAGAAATATGCAAAGCCAATGTCCTACGAATTTGAATATGCAGTCTTTCGACCGGTTTTACTGTGAAGACAGTTGGTTGTATATCAGTTGTTCGCTTAATATTCAAGCAAATGCCTTACTGTAGGCCGTAGCAGAATACATGCTCTCATTGGAGCGGATCCTTTTCTTTATTTTGTGCTAATATATGCCAAGGCAGTAGGACAAAATCAAGGTTATTTAAAGATGACAAATTCAAATTTGATCTGGTATTTCTGGACGAATAAGTCATAACAATGTGATTTTCAGGCTTTCCCACTACATCTTTCCTCCAACTGATTGCCTGGATTTCTCGACACCACTGTGGAACTCGGAGACCTCGTCGGACACAGAGAATTCTGGCGAAAGCTGCTGTCGTTTGGACGGTAATTTTTACCAAGACTATGACTTCGAGGTTTCCGTCGATCACATGCCGGTTCAGCAGTTGGATGTTTGGCAGAAAGAGGACGAACGAGACGATGACCAGCTGATCCGTTTCGTTGGCAGCATATCTTTAATCGCACCTTTAGATCCCGTCTCTACCATAAGCGTTTAAATGTTCGCCTAATTAATTAACGATGACGTCACGTTTATTTATCGGTTCCATCGATGAAATGGTAGTTTTTCAGGAAATAAACATCGGTTCGATTAGTGTTTTACGATGCACTGACACGGTTTTGATGTCAAAGAAACTTCCACGCATTCGTCATCACTCAAAATTGTCATTTTAACGATTTTCACGTACAAAGTTTTATTTATTTCTAAATAAAAAGTAAACGCTCTCCGTTAACAATATCCCATAGCATAGTGATCGATGTAGGAAACGGCAAAAGATTTTTAATCAATAGGAGGGCGTTGTCACTCAATGAACAGGCGTATTCCAACAGATTTTTGAATCGATGAGCGCGTGATACCTTCAAATGAAGCACAAGGTCAGAAGCAGTCATGACCCTCGCTACTTAATCAAGCTTCATTATGGATGGCCTCTGTGGCTAGTAATTGCACAGTGCCCAATTTCCCCCTCACCTTATCCCCCTGCCGATTGTCAAAGTGTATTGCTTGGCGTTTTTGCGTACAAAAAATCCAAGCGGCTGAAACTATGCGACTATGTTCTCCAGATCCTTCGTGTTAGTCGTAATTGTACGCTTAGAGGGTAGAAGGGATGATGGAAAGAATTTTGCCGCACTATCTTTAGGGCTTAGTACAGAACAGGATTGTACCCACAAGTCTGCTGTATAATCAGGGTATCTTCCACCTAGAGCAAGCGACTCTTAAGGAATAAAGTGCACTTGTTAATGTCCGATGGTTAGTGCAATAAAGTAAATCCTGCTTCCCCGACTGTTTCTGAGCTGATGATCGACCTTTGTGGTGCAGACATACACACTCCACGGTTTTTTGTCTGTACTCGCCATCTTCCACTTTGCCTTTAACCACTCTTCTGTACATTGCTGCCAAAATTTAGACTATGGAGAGCCAATACTATCGCTCGTGAGCACTCAACGTGCGCGAAGGATGTTTTTTGTCCAGTTGCTAACTGTGATATTGATATTGTACATAAAATTTCTTCCCCTGAATCGTTTTTCTTTTTCAGGGGTCGACGCCAAGGTGAAAGGAATTTCATTGGGGACCATGTAAGGAGTGATCTTTGGTGCTACCTTCGGTATATCGTAAACAGATGGTGTAAAATTGAATATAAATGGAGCGAATCCTTTGAAACGCGCAGCATGATTATTTATCAACACACGATACATAATGTAATTATGATTAATGCAATTCATAGTTAAATGCCACCAGATATTTACACTTTATGGGCTTTGCGAGGCTAATGAATCTAGTGGCCGTTGACGAAGTTAAACAATGTTCCCATCACTTGTAGATATTTCTTGCTTGACTGTAAGTTTCATTGTTTTCATGACCGATACCTATCGAATTTGAATATCCATTCTAAAGCAATTCACAATATTGTTGCTGAACTCTTGAGCAGAGTACTTGTACTTTAAACTGAACGCCAAAGTATTTGCATATCTAAATGTTAAATATTAGCTTGGTACACCTTTTTCAGATTGCTAAATAAGAACTATCTAGGACCTTCAATTTTGATCAAAATTACTCTGAGAGGTTTTACTCAGGAACATTGTGAACGGTGGTTCTCAGCAACAAGTGGCGAGCAGCGTAATCTCAGTTTTATTACCGATTTTTGATTAGTTCGTAGAAAATTATTTCAGAGTATGAAGAGAGGTGCATTCCTGAATTGCACCTTTTTGCGGTTCAGGAAACGCCTTCACTTCGATAGTAGTTGTCTGGGACAGGACATTTCACGGAAATCACCCTGATGTGCAATCATACTCTGTAGTCCGCTTCCTCTTTCTGACTCGTCTTAGCGTCAGTCTCAAAATTACATACAGCCAGTTTCAGGCGACCGTAAGGAAAGGAGATGCCAAAAATATCTGAGAATATAGTAGCATCGGAAAGAGACGAAAAGCGATACTATTTCAAGCGATTGCGATGGCCATATTTTGCTGGTTGGGATTGCCTACTTTGCATACCATGAGACGTGTAACATTCAGTTATTTTATTTCGTCTCGGACACAATGTACTGCACATTTAATAAGTAAAACTTAGTCCACATTTCAGAAAGGTGACGTCATAAATTTGTAAGTTTTTACAAATTCAGATTTTGTGTCTGTTCCCAGATATCATCCGTCAGACATCAAAAAATTCGTCTTTCTCCATTAGGAGGGAGGACGTAACACCGCAAGACAGTCTCATTTACTTCAGAGATTAGCCATAGGTCCCCGCAGAGCTTTTGGTCCGGGTTTGTCATCATAGTGTTCGTAGGCATAGAACCGCTTCAAAACTCATTATAGGTTTTGTAGACTCTGTTTGCCGTTGCCTAGTTGACAGACTGATGTTCCTGATGAACTGCTCTCTGTGACAGGATGTTACAGTAGTAATTGAACGGCCGGATATGTGCATGGTATAATCTGCCTATGTTTATGCGACAGCCTATGGAAAGTACCAAGTCCAGAAACATCGTTCACAGAGTACGATGTGGCTGTAACAAACAAAACGATGCGAGACAAATCTAATACTGCGGATCTCAAATACAACCATATCGTAGTCTGTTCAGGTGACCCTTCTCAGAGCAAGGAGGCAGATCACCACTCCTTGAAGTCTGGTCCTGAAGGATCAGTGGTCATTTGCATACAGTGGCTGTGTATATGCTGTACGATTTACAGCTGGATGTAAACCGGGTGTTGTAGAACAGGACATGCACCAGCCGAAGTTACTTTGAAGAAAACCCACAAAATAGGGGCCTAAGCTTCGACAGCAGTCTGTTATTCAAACGGATGACAATTTGCTTTATTTGCAATTAAATGTTTTTCTATCTGTTCAGTCTTACTACCAACATATGAATGAAATAATTGCTGTGTGCTTTATATAGTACTATGTGGTATAATATGTGTAGCACATACAGAAGGGCAATATCTGGCTATTTCGACATGTCCATCTGAGAGACTAATTGAAATTTTTGTAAACAATCATGGAACGTAAATCCATTTCTAAGTTAAACATCACAGGCCAGACGCGTCAACGATGTTGTCCAAAAAAAACTTGAGACGGATATCAAAAACCATGTAAGGAAACGCATCATTTCCCGCGACATTAATGACTCATTACCTTGAATCGCTGAATCGTTTTGCCCTCATATGCGAAAGCTGAATTGCATTCCATACCTGATTGCATGTACTATTTGCCAACTGCTTCCGGGGATCGCCGACATCAAGCCATCATCGCTTACTGCAACCAGTGGAACTCGCGTTGACGCGTGATCTCATCTGGAGAAATCAGCGTTTGACTGAGTTCCTGAAATGTGAAGGGTCATTGGGCCCTTCGACAATCTCCAGTAACTAGCGGCTCTCGTTTTCGCCGTAGTGTCACCGTTGCATGGCCTGCCGCTTCCGGCGGCGTCAATATTTGCTTTACGGCAGATGATCGGCACTTTCCTCAGATGACTGTCACGAAACGTCTCAAGCAGCCGCTTATGATTTTTCGCCCCCCCCCCTCGCCGTTTAGAAGTGCCGACAATCAGTTGTGCAATTAACCAGATCAGTTGCTTACCTAAATCAGTATACGTGGCTGTCCGCAGCTTGACTGAAACTAGACGAGTCTAAAGAGTTACGGATAGAGTTTCTATTGTCTATTTTATATCATTCCTCGCTTTCAAACTGACACCATGAAGCTGTCCTTATGTAAATGGCATCAAGGTTTATCAGTGGTACGAGATCGCATGGTAGAATAAGGAACCTCACTTCACTTTCCATGACCACCTCTCCCATCGGGTCGTGGAGGGGGAAGTGTCAGGCAGTGCCTCAAACGCTTCTGAGCCCGTGCCAGAGCATGAGCCTCGGCAGAAGACAACTGGAGTCTGGAAGAGACTCCTTCAATATATTTGCACCAGGTTAATCTTGGCCGTCCCCTGGGCATTTTGCCAGTCGGCCTGGCAAAGAGCAGTTGCATAGACTTTCATTCTGAAGGCATTCGCAACACATGCCCAAACCATCGCAGCTGTGACTTCTCAATCTGGAGAAGCAAAGGC